AGCCCCGCGCTTCCGTCTCCTGCCGCCTCAGACCGCCGGCGGCCGCCGGGTGGATGAAAGGAAGGAGCCGGGCCTGCCCTTCATAAAGTGAAACTTCACCATTGGACTAAACTCCTTTCTGTGGCTGTAAGGGAGAGGGTTAATGTAGCTCTGGCACAGAGACATAGAAATTATTTCTTTTCATAGCAGTGGAAAATGCTGCACATCTTCCTCTGCCTTCAGCTATGGCTTCATACAACAGTGACTGGTGCAGGCCAAGGGGAAGGGGAGCTGCTTACAGTACTGATCCCACAGCCATAAGCTCATGTTTATAACAAAGTTTATTTTTCTAAAAGCAAGTTTTTGAGGTAACACTAATCCGTAGAGAAAGCTTTTTACTGTAATACTTCTGAGCCACACACCGACCATGTGCCAAACCTGGTTTTTAACAGCAGGACTAAAGGTAAGTAGATACATAAGAAGTATTAGCCAAGACTTCTTTACCTACCTTCACACTTATGGCTTTACCTGATACAAATTTATTGCAGCTTGACTTGATTAAACCAGTATTTAATGGGTAATCAAGGCAGAAAACCAGCTGATACCACAGGAATTAACATAAAGAGAAATCAGACAGTCTATTAAAAATTGAATCGAATCATACAGTAAGTGACCTTTGCTTTTGACAAACAACTGACATAGGACAAAAAATAGTATACACATATAAACCACTTTAGCTAGCTTCTGCCCCATTGGAATGTGGATGCCCTATTTTTCTGTGTCATAAGCTATGGATTTGTAATTCCCTTCCACTAATGTTAGAATTCTATTAAAAATATCAGTAATTCACAACTTGAAATCCAGAAGAAAAACCTACAAAGGAGTACTGGCCTGTGGGGCAGCAGGAAGGTAACCACTCCGGGCACAGAGTGCCACCCCCCTCCTCCCCACACAGACCGAAAGAGCTCACTGTTCCAAGTGGAAACAGAAGTTTTGCCTCCCAGTCTTAGATTAGAGCAGGAGAAAGACAGAGAAAACATTAACACTGGAGTCTCAAGCTAGAACCATGAATTGGCCTGTAAAATATCTTCACTTTTCATCAACAGTATAACAGTTGGAAAAAACTGTAATTTGTTACCTTCCTAACAGAAGATAATCTACTTTTTCTTAAATATTTACATTGAATGTAAATACTTACATTGAATGCAGTAGCATTCTAGCTTATTTTTTCAATTTTTTTATCATCATTACATTTATTTTGTGAAACACTGATTTAATGGAATAGATAAACCAAAATTTTATTCTAGTCCAGATCAGTCATTTAAGCATAATGCATCGCTGGGTGACTAAATGCACCACTTGTTAAATTAACATTTCAGACTAATTCGCAGAGACTAAAGCATAATTAAGTCTCTCTCCCCTCCTGTTTCCTTTTCCCTGCATTCTGTAATCAAAGTGTGGCAGCAATCTATTAATGCAAATATCCGAACCTTACCTGCTCCATTTCCACCAGCATTTCAGGCATTGCCTCAAACTACAGAAGGAATTATCAGCCTAGGAAATGATTGCAGTTCAACTGCGCATTTCTCCCTTTGTCTGCTTTTGCCTGCAGAGAGCACATGGACTGGAAGAAGCAATAGCTCAGTTGACCTTTGAAACCAACACGCTAATCCAAGCCCTGTATCACGTGTGGCTCTGAATCCTGTTAAGCTTTTGGTTTATTCCCAGTGGTACCATTTAAGCAGCTCAGTATGAACTTAAAATTTGACTGCATAACAGCCAGCAGGAGCAAGTGCAAGCATTGTGCATATAAGATGTATTCAAAGCTCTGGCACTGCGCTTTATGCGGTTTTCCTTTTATAGCAAACAGGAGGAGGGCTCTAATTAGGTCAGCCAGGTTGAGGATTCTCACAGCTCTTCATTTCACATTTAAACTAAGCACAAACCAGAACTTGCTACGATGCAGTGAGATAGATGATCAGAGAAATATTTTCTTGCTAAATTATATATTTGTTCAATAAAAAAAAGTATGTGCCACAACATGAAAGTAATTGCTTCCTGCAGTGAATACTTAAGTCAGTTCAGATACCAGTATCAAGGTTCCAGTTTTCAATATGCATTTCATATGTGCACAAAACTAGCAAAGCCACTTAGACTAAAATTGGCACAAAGCACTCAGATTTTCCTCTTTACTTCCACTCCCTACTTCTCTCCAGTGTGCTATACATCATTTTTAAAGCTAAACCAAAAATTGACCTTGCTGCAAGGCTAACAATTATTTACAGGAATTTCCCTATTCTTTCTGTCCATGTAAGCATGCTCCTGACAGTCCAGAAAGGATTTAAATTGACACTTAGACAAAACTGCCAATTAAGCTAGAAAGTTTAAAGAATGAAGGCTGTATGAAAAAAGTATGTAGCCATCATAAAAGCGTAGTCCTGTGATATCTGCAGTATTTTGCTTCACCTGGTACATTTTCACCCTTTGACAAACTACCTTGATGCAGGACACATCGAACACCAAAACCGAGGTTCAGTTAAACACATACCTTAACTCAGAGTCCCCATTTCCATGTGTGAGGTTTGTGGAACCTTCTATTAACATTCACTTGCTGTAATCTCTCTTGAAAGAAAACACTCATATACATTTTAAAAAAAACACATTAAACTAAGGGTATCTTTCATTTTTTGGCACAAAGGGTTTTCAGACATTGACATTCTGAAGAGTGATTGTGCCTTTAAAATCCCCATATGATTAGAACAGCACAGAAAGTATGCAGCTTTCAGCAAGCCCACATGGAAGATGAATGCCATCTTGTGAGAAAACCCCAGGTATACCAGCTGTAGAGCGTTACTTGTGCTCTTCCATTTCCAGTTCTTTACAGATTTCTCCTCCACACCCAGTTGCTCTTTCCCCTGCTACTCACTAGATCATGTTCAGTTTAACCAACCCTTCCTGTTGCATCCACTGATAAGGGAATGTACAGGCTGTGTAACACCGTGTTCTCATCAAGTGAGTCAGACTAATGCACACTTGCTCTATAAGTTTGGGTTGGTTTTGGTTTTTTTTTTTTTACTCCATTTACATCTTTCAGACAAGAAAATTTTTATCCTTTTCTCCATAAGGAGAGAGATCCAGTATTCAATTCTTTCAGCAACTTCCTTATTAAAATATGCCTCTCAGCACTTCATACAAACTGCTAAATTGAACACAAAGTATTTCTCAACTCAAATACCTGAAGTTAATACTCATCCTCCATCTTCAGAAGTTCAAGTAATCCAGCAAATACACAAAGATGACTTTAACAGACAAGACCTAGCAATTTCTTTCCTTGGACTTCACATGCATTTTTGTTATCTCATTTCCCAGGTATTATCAGTTGTCTGTAAGCTTATAACATCCGTATAAATACAATATATTCATCATGCTAAGCTTTGTATACTGTCTCTCTGCCACACCCCTGTGCAGGATATTTGTAGATACAACAAGAACAGAGTTCCACATTTCACTCAAGTTCCAGTATTTACTTTTGTATTACGATGAATTCAGAGGAAATGACAGGATAAGGGAATTGCAAGTTGTATGTATTGTACTGTTCAGCTAAAAAATTTCCTATAAGATTACAAAATACATCATCTTTGAGGCAAGACTGACATTGGGCTTTGTTGTGAAGATTTAAGACTAGAACAAAGAACTATAGGTCAATTACACTATGTAATTTGATTTTGTTTTTTATCCCTGGTTCGTGAAGGCCATAGACAAATTCTTTAATTAAAAGTTTTTATTGTGCTAAAGCGTTCCTCATTTTAGATGCAGTTAAACCGATTCTTCCTAGAACTCAAGTCTGTACAATGAACACACATACAGGGGGTATCCTCCCACCCAATTCAGACAAGTTCTGCTGTTATTCCCCTTCACATAGCATCGATCAATTACAACAGCTGCCTACAAAGATATTAGAATTTAAGCGTCTCCAACGAACACAGCATTCATAAAATAGACATTTCTCTTAAGACACTAGTCTTAGCCACAGTATGCAAACATTTAGGCAAATGCAGTCAATTTGAGTTTGACCTGAAAATCCTCTTCTGAAGATCAACAGCTGCAATATGTAGCCCCAGGACTTAAATTAGCACATGCTGAATATAGATCCCACTAATACCAAAACTAACTGTACAGTCCAATTTTCTACACTGGTTCTATATTATGTAGGCCACAGAGGAAAAAGGGGCTCTTGGCAGGATTTCTGTCATTGGTATTGAAACAACCATAACAGCAAAAGTAATTTAACACAAAACTGTAATCGTGAGATCTAATTTCATGAAAGATGTGATCATCCTTATTCTCCAGTGCGTCTTCACCTTTATCTGAACTGAAGCTGCTCTGCCAAAAACAAGGTAAGCAGCTTCAGCATACAAAAAAGTCAAAGAGTGCACACTTGTCAGAGTTCGAGAGTGTAACGATGTTACCAGGAGTCTGGAGCATAGTCACCTATGGGTTCTCAGTAAGCGTATGACCAAGCAGTTTTTCTAAAAATAGATCAATTTAGACAATTTCTCTAGTACTCCTACTAATTTGCATTATATACAGCATCCAAGTTCACCTTGAACAAGTAGTCCGTTGAAGTCTTCTGTAGTACATTAATTTATTGGTGATTTATTTTTCTTAAGACCAGGAAGAGATTAAATTTTGTTTTTATTACCTGCAATGGAAAAACATTACTAAGTCTGGGGTTTTCACTATTACTCCCACCACATTGAGTAATTATTTGTCTGCTGCAGGGAGGAAGGCACTAGACTCCATATCACAGGTAAGCCAGAAATTCTGACCTTGGAACATACAGTAAAATGAAGGTCTGGTTGAGATCTATACCCTCCCACACTCTCCTGCAGTGCTTCCCTTCGTGCACCCCTACACTCTTGCCATTTCTTGCTCCACTCCACATCCATCGGCAGGCCTTTTGCATCCTACACCTTTACATCTACAGCAGTCTACAGTCCTGCCAGGTAGCAGCTAAAGAACCAGGGCTCAAACCTCTGGCCACGCCACTTTTACTCTACCACCCGTGCAGGAGACACTGCCTATCACCTGATTAGCTGTAAGGGGAAGGTGTACAACAGGAGAAAAATTGTAGGCAATACACAGTAACAAAACAAAGTTCACATCTTGCAAGATCATGTAAACCAGCGAATTCTCTGTAACCCACACCTTCCTCTTCCCTGCTACCAAACTTTTTGTTGCCTGACCTGACATCCCACCTGCTCAGGTCAGGTTGTAAGAAACTGGGCTGGAAAGCACGATAGCAAACAGTACGCTAGAAGTATCCTGTGGGTGCAGCCTTCCAACATCTGCTGTGGAACACACAAGAGATGCCATTCTCCTTCCTTCAGCAAATGCAGCAGACTATGCAAGACTATCATACCTTCTTTGGTTAAGTTTAAGAGGCACAAGGACATGGTTACATCAATATCTAAGCTTACCTTCTTTTAAAGGAGTTTTTGGAGGAATATTTTCCTTGCTATCATGCTGGAAAGCTTTGGAAGGATCAAAACGCCGAATGCCCTGAATTAGACATAGTTGCTCCTGAAGATCTCTGTTGGTTTGCTTTTCTTTTGCTAGCAACGCACGTAGTTTTGAGAGATCCTAAGGAAAACATAATACTTGGAAGTTAGATTAAGAACAGGAGAAAAGCCTGCTTCATCATTTTCTGAAGTAGCCCCTTTGAGTACTGCCAAACGGATTTTGGCAATTATTGGTGGCATTAACAAACCGAAACCAAAGAGACAGAGGTGTAGAGAAACCAGCACCATTGTGTAATTGCTGTATAACACCACTAAGCAGTACAGTAGCCTCAAACTGTCAGGTGCTTCTTTCAGCAGATAGTTTACTAAGTCTAGAATCTCCAAAAGAGGTAAGAAAAAGCAACCAAGCTAAGAGTAGGGGTAGTTATTTACACTGGTGATCCCTCTGTATATACTCAGTTGAAACTAAAACAGATTCTCTTGCTGTTTCTGGAGGCCAGTGGTTTGTTCTAATCTCACTCTTGCATGGAATTTAAGAACCATAGACAGCAAGTCATTTGCAGGATTAGTCTATAAATATTTACAGCAACAAACAAAGGAATCAAGCAAATGAATAACTTAGAGATTTCAAACTTTTCATTTCACAAACCTGCTTCAGGTGGGTATTCTCTTCCTTCAACTTCATAACATGCTTGATTTTTTGCTTCTGGTTCTGGTGGCCAAGTAGTTTAGCATATGCATCGCTTAGTTTAGTCAGCTCTTCTTGGGCTGCACCATGCTCATTTAAGAGAGCGCTCTTCTCTGCTTCAAATGCATCTAGTTGTTGCTGAAATACATATTGAATCTTTTAGAAATCTTTAATTAAACATAGCTTTTTACTGAATTAAAAATCTACAAAGACAGACTAATTTGGGAAGGAGAAGAGCTAGTTCAAGGGAGAGTAACTTAGGAAACTGTTGCAGGATAAATGACTTAGAACAGGCAATAGAACGCAGAACTTGAATCAACTGCACAAGTCTTAAGTTAACAGATACTAATAAATATCTACTTCATAACACACCTGAAAAGGCTTAGTTTTGTTATGTAAATCTTCATATAGATTACGCCAAGTCTTTATCTCTTCTTTTAAGCTAGAGGTCACATCTTCATTTATGGTTTTCCTAGAAAGCAAGAAGTGGAGTTTCATTATGTTCATTGTTAGCTCTCAGCACTTATTCACACCAAAACTTTAATGTACTATAATATGCAGGTTTAGTTTGAGAAAAGTCACCTTGATCTTTCCACTTCAAGTTTTCTTTTCAGATCTTCAGTTTCCTCTTCCAGTTTTTCCTGAAGTTTAGTCATCTGTGCAAGGCAAGACTCTTTTGTTCTCTCTGTTTCTGCTTCTTTTAGTGCAAGCTTTGTCTGGACTTCTAAAAGCATCCTGGGGAAAATACCATCCATCCTTAATGAACCCTTAATTATTTTTTTTTTATACTAGTCTAAATCTGAAAACACAAATATCCATGATTGAAAAGCTGTTAGAAGAATCAAAATAAAGGTTTGCACAAAGCATGCTACAAGACAAGAACAACAATGCAGAAAGCAATCAAGTCCAAGAGGTACATGGTTTTCAACTCCTCCTATGGGGAAAGCAAGCAGTGCTTTTGAAGCAATGAAAGACCATGTATTTCCTGTTCATGGCTGTTTAATGCCAGCAGCTTTTAGTGGAAGACACTTTAGTAGTTAGACTTTACATGCAGAGGTTTACTCAAGCAGAAACTAGTCAAGACTGTTCAGGGTGGATGTACTCAGGAGTTCAAAAACTCTACACCTAAAGCATCACCTTCCCTCTCCAGCCTCAGTTGCTTCTTTTATCACCTAGGTGGAGATTAAGAATCTCTTCCCTGCCAGCAAATCAAAGAGGAAATAACTCTTCAGTTATTTTTCTTTTACCAGCTCTAGTGGAAGCTAGCGACAATATTAAGCAGGGGGGGAGGAAAGAAAGGGCAACATTTTAAGCAGCACAGGTGTTTTGAAATAAGCTGGGGAAAGCTGTAATTGTCCTTTGGACAATGTTAATACACCAGCTACGGGTCAAAAAGACAGCAGAAGGCGTACAAACCTCTACAGAAGCATTTTATAAATCAGCAAAGAGAGAATTAGGAAAATCAGAAATGCCCAGTTCAGTTTGGCCAAAACAGCATTTTCGTGCAGTTGAGTAAGTCTGTTATCCACATGGAAAAAGATTAGAGCATAGTTGTTGACCCAAATCTAGCTTCAACTTCAGAAGCTTGCTGGGAACCACATTAAAAGAAGCAGGGAAGGAAATCTTCCAGCACACACACACTATGTTCCATAACACAACTCATGTACAGGCAGTTACCACAGTTGCCTCATACAGATGGTTGTACGCTAGGACCTTTTAAGGCCAAACTCCCCTACTTCCTCAAATAGTCAGTTACTTGCCCACAGCAAGGGACTTTCTCATGCTCTGTGCCGTGAGCTAGATGGAGAACATACACCATTAAGCTGCTGTTAGCCAGTCAGAAAAACATGTCCTCAGCTAGTAGCTTAAGACAACTTCTTGGGTGTTACTACTTATCAGCTGCATTGTGGTGCTTCATATTAGGCAGAGAGAGGAACTTTGTTTACCTCACTGCAGTGTGGTAATTCATGGATGGTTAATTGGCATCTGCTTGTGAGCAGAATTTGAGGTGATGCGTTATTCAGAGTGGTAGAGGGTGAGCTTTGTGTTAAGTATTTATTTGTCTGCCCGTGTGGATCATATTTGTGGAACAGTCACTGTAACTGATATTTCTGACAAAGACTATTTTCCAATATAATTCAGTTAAGTATTTTCCTTTTCCTAAATGTTCCACATAAAGGGAAAAGTCAAAGCAATTGAATTAACAGATCCATTTTCTAATGGATATAAACTTAATTTTTGCCTGTCAATATTTTCAACACTCTGCACTGGGAAAAAGAAGAAGCTTAATTTTACACTAAATACCAATTTTATTTGGTAGAGCACTATGTTAAGTTCTAGTTAAGAAGGCAAGCCTTAGCAGGCATTCTTTAGCTTAAGAAAAAGTTTGTCTGTCTAGTACCTTGCACATTCTTCTTTTGCTTTATTTTTAGTGTATTCTGCTTCCTGAAGCAGCTGTAGATTATCTTGACCTATTTTTTTTAGGTTGGCAACTTCTTCTTGCAGAGAGGTGTTCTCCAGTTTAAGACTGCACATTTCTTCAGTTATTGTCTTCTTGTAGCTAGTATTACAATGCAAATAAGAAAAATCTTGTTACTTTAGACAATACACAGATTGACATGTTCATGCCTTACAAGAGCAACACAAGTTCGCGTTAACAAGTGTAAGAGATGTTATGATCTGGACGCACGGCAGTGTTCTGACACTGGTAAATCCAAAGTTTAAAAAAAACCCCAAAACTTTTCCATAAAGCCATAAGCAGTAACACTACAACAAGTTCTGCCATACAAATATTTTTTGCATATTGGTAGATATTTTAAACACAAAAGACCTACTATATCTGAAGCTTATTTTAAACACCAAAAGACCTACTATATCTGAAGCTTGCATTGGCAAATATCCCACTTGATCCTTTATGGGTGCCTCGCATACTTTGCGATAATAGTATCACTTTTTACATACTTCCACAACCTGAATATTTTGAGAAGAAAGCTCTGCAAGAACTGTAGGAAGATAATCTCAACTCAGTACAAGTTTTGAGCCTAAATAAGAAGTCTTTTTGCAAGGGATTTTAGTGCAAAGATATCATCACTAGTTACAGCTCTCATTGAGATTCAAGGGCACTTGAGTATTCCAATTGGTTACACTTCGGAAGAAGAAACATTCAGTTTCCTGAACTAGATAGTGAGTATGTCATTACACTTGACTAGTACTCTAAAGGAATACACCAACTTCTTAATGTCATCAAATACTCCATCCCAAAATCCTCTTCTCTAATACTGTACCAACATGCATATACAGTGTTAAGTACCAAGGCACAGGAATATGCAGCATTTCATTGTAATCTTATTGATAATCCCTGTCCTAGAACTTAATGAAACTTAAATACCTTTCAAACTCAGCAACAGTCTGCCCGAGTTTACGCAATGTATTGGTATGCTCTTCTTGGATTTGCAAAACAGCATTGCTATGCACTTCATTGATTTGCTCCAACTCAGCATTCTTCCTGAAATAAAAATTCAGCGTTCCACAGTGGAGATAAGTACATCTCAACACGTTACCAAATGCTGTTATCAGTTACAGAAAGCTTACAATGGCAGCAATAAATTAATTGTGATAAACCAGTAACTTCAAGTATTAAAGTACAATCTTCATAGCAGATTTAACTAAGCATTTCCCCCAGTCTTATTTTCCAAGATAGCTACAGAAGAGATTGAACATCTAATAGTAAACTTCCAATACATGAATGGAACAAACAACTTGCTTGAAAATCTTTCCTAGTCATTGCCCTCTCCAGGACAGAAACATCCAATACAACATGCCTGTGGCTTACCCTTCACAGCAACATCATATTACTACAGTACTGGCATTTCAAGCAAGTCTCAGCACACTGATTAAACAGTTTTATTAAGATGATATTAAAGTGATACAAGTCACTCAGCTGGATTAGGTCTAATCAACCAACAACCAGCAAGAAACAAATTTAGATCAGGTCTCCTGAAAATCTGAATTAGGCTCAGAAGCTTTGTTTATGCTGATTTAACATTTTTCCTTTCAAAGCTTTAGAATAAGACAATTTATTTCACAAACCCTTTCAACTTTACTTCCATCTGTGCAAGTTCAAGAGCTTGAGATTTGATTTCTTGTTCCAACCGCTTCACCAACTTTTCAGCTTTCTTCTCCTTAGCATGTAATTTATTCAGCTCATTCATTGTGTCACTCAGTTCTTCTTCAAGAAGACGTCTCTCACTTGTTATCTCATCTTGAAACTCTAGTAACTTCTGGTGCATTGATGCAGATGACTCCTGCATGCCAGAGTACCAGATTTTAAAAGTACCAGTACTTTTCTAGAGGTTAAAACACTAATTTGCAGTGTTCAAATTTTAAAGCACAAGAATAAGGTCAAATCTACAGGAAGATCCAAAATACCCATCATACCAGCTATGATTGAGAGCTATTAGACCACACACAATTTCTGCTGGCCAGCACCCACTTGTACATTCCACAGATTAGACCATTATTAATATAGTCATCTCATGTATAACCAAAATCAGAACTGTCAGTGCCAGCCACTGGGATTAGAGTCTATTTTTAGACTAATTTATAGTCTGTATTTACCTTCTCTTGCTGCAGCTGAGACACCATCTCCTCATGTTTCTGAAGCAGTTTTTGGTGTTCTTGTTCTTTTAAGCTAATTTTTTTTTTCAGGTCTTCTATTTCAGCATTCATACTTATGAATTTTCCGCTGCTCTCAGACAACTCTTTCTCTGCATAGAGGAATCAGCAATAACACAAATTCCCTTCTCTGTCTTGAAAGAATTACAAGATCTATTCTTCATAGTACTTCCATTCTAGCTTTAAAGTTTGAGAAGGGGAAAAAAACTGAACAAGAAGCCCAAAACAAAACCACATCTTTAACCCATCTAGAAACTCCTCAAAATTGGCTTAAAGTACACCACTTTAAAAATAATTTTAACAGTGGGAATCTTTGGATCAAGCAATTAGCCTTCATCAGAACAGCAGTATGGCTGGGGAAAAAACAATTAAATTATTTCCCCAAAGCTTCTTCCACATAATACCAGCACATAAAAGCCAAGCAGTTACACAGAGAACTGAGTACCCGTGTCAGGCTGCAAGGTTGCTCATTTTGGTGGAGAGGAGGGGGAAAGAGGTGAAGAAGGATTCCTAGACACATTCCCAATACCTCAATGAACTTGTGCACAAGCTGCTAACAGTGGATTGAGGCAATATCATACTGCTTCTCAATGAAGAGTGAGAAACAAGTCATTTATGTTCAGCTTTCAGATTAAAGCCATTCCTACTATGCAAGCAATTTTCCTTTCTGTACTGTCTACCTTAGTTACCCTCCATGGAAATAGAAATTTAAGACTTAATAGATGTCAGATTCAGGGTAGTTTCCATACTCTTCGAAACATGCCCAGCTGTTTTCAGCTGGAGCTCAGAGACATGACTTAACTTGGAACAAACCAATCTGAATTGATATTTTAGAACCTGAGAACCTGTAAGACATGTCAGTGATCCTACATGTGTGAAGAGCATACAAGCACTACCAGTTACCTTTTTCTTGTTCAAGCATTTGACACCTTTCATTAAGTTCTTCTATCAGTTTAAATGATTCTTCCTCTTTTATTTTGAGGGTATCCCTCAGGATCCTGATATCTTGGTCTTTCTTTATCAGTGTCTTCTCCATCTGGGCAACATCTAGTTTGTATTTCTCAACTGTTTCTGCAACAGTGCTGTAGGAGAAGATTCAGGTATTTGTTACCACTGAATTTTGTTTGTATGCTTACACTTCAGCACAAAAAGAAGAATGCATAGGACTGCTGTTTCCAACAGGAAAGTTGCCTTCACCTACTTTGGCAGACACAAGTTTTTCCGCATTAAGACAGGTGAACTAAAATTAAAAGCAATTTAAACATTGAGATGTTTTGTTTTAAAAGAAACTTATACAATCACACAAATAAAAAAGGTTTGATAAAAACAGAATTAATCACTATAATTGATTTACAGGTGACTGCTACATGCAGGGGTTTTTTTACAAAGCTGAGTTTTGACAGAAGAGCACAAACATTATTAAACCAGATTTTACAAGAATAAGTAGAATCTTATCATATATATAGTCAGTTAATGAAGAATCTCTTAATGAGTAAATTGACAGTGGTGGTGGAGGACAAAGAGTGAACTAGTTTAAACACTTTTGTATTTTCACAATGTTCTGAACTAGGGACACAATACTGTGAAGACTGATTAGTTTCAATCAGTTACAAACCACTGGATTTGAGCATCAGACTGATGCTCACACCTACTTAATTCATCACAACTCTTAAATGCAAATTAGAGTATTGCAAAGTTCACTGGAAGCCAAGATTGAGGTGGGCTTTTTTTCCCCCCTGTACTGTACATTGCTCCTACTTTACAGGAAAAGGAATTATCTTCATTTATGTACAAATAACTCAGGCTAAAAACATGATTTCAGGACCCTGATTCTCTGTAGTATCACTTAGCCCAGAAAAGAACAGAGCCATTTAGAAAGACCGTTAAAATAATATCTTACGACTCCTTTCCATTCTTTCCACTGTATGGAAAAATATCCGATTTCTTCCCCCCCAGCTCTATTTTAAGACTGTTAAATAGGATAGTTGCCAAGGTTGTACTTCACCAGTCATAAGCGAGGGTTACTCTTACTGCCTTTTAACTTACCCAGTTCAATTCAAGAACATTTGTTGTTACCTGAGCTCTGTAATATATTCCAGGAGTTTTTCAGTGTCAGACTTTTCTTCAACTTTCTCTCTCTCAGTAGCAGACCTAAAACAAGGAATTTTTCACGATGGCTGTATTTAAACAAATCAGAACTACGTGTAAACTATTTGTTTACAAATAAGCAAGTAGAAGTAACCATTGCATCACAACTTGGTAGTAATACATACTTTTCATAATCCAGTTTGGCTGACAAACTGGTATTGGCTCTAAGAGGTGATTCTACCTTATTTTGATACTTGTTCCATATGGTCGTCTTATTTGTAGTAAAGATGCCAAGCCATGTTCTGCCACAAGCTAGAACAGCTGCATTAACTCGACAAATTATCATTGCCTCCCTTTGTGAACTGCACTACCTGCATTATTTGCTTTGTGTATTTTAACTCTAAATTAAGTATAACAACTCTGCTAGTATTTGAGCACTTGGATGTTAAGTAAATGCAGAAAGCATAAGGATGCTGCAGCGCCGATCATGCAAAATTGACATAAAATATACCTTACAAGCTCATCCTTCTTAAGTTGCCATCCTCAGAAATAGCCTATATGTTAGTACACTGTTCCTGTACAGCAAATGACATTAGTTGGGCAGAACAGAAAGTGTAGAATTGGAATTCACTCTCTTCCTACATACAGCTGTTTCACCCAAGACACTTTGCAGTTGCCTTTCTTCAGAGAATGAAGCAACTTTGAGGCACCACAACTGCTCTTCTATACACAGCGCTGGTGAACACACCTGTCTTCATTGAATCTGTGTCAACTGCCCAGCTACTGAATTTGGATCTCAACTCCAGGTCCAATGCTTTTTCATTCTTGCTTATCCCTAACTTACTAGTGTAACGGGCCAGACACTGAAGTAACCAATCTGCATAAATGTCTTGCTCCAAGATGAACAACAATTCTGTTCAAGATATATCTTCCCTCCCCACCCTACATCCAAGAAAACTCTACCCATACCACATTGGAAGACAAAGGGTTGAGATGGTATGATTTGTCTTTTAGAAAAAGGTTAGATACACTAGAGGAACAGTATTTTGTATGTTTATTTTATAATACTACAGCAGTTCCTAAAACTTCATTCCATCAGATTTATTCCAGGTCACAAATACTAATAATTTCTGTTCCCTGTAGGGACACAGCCTGTATTTTTCCTGAACTACATGGTTACTATAAGGTATAAATATGTAGGCACAGCTAGATGATAAAATGTCATTCATCTAAGTAAATACCCTTCCTTACTACTTACAGTTTTTCTTCTAACTGCGCTACTTTTCCTTCTGAATGCTCAAGATTCCTTTGCACTTCCTGCAGCTTCATTTCCATGTTTTCCTGCTTTGCAAGTGCAGTCTTAAAAAAAAAAAAAGATACAAATATTACCACCAAAATAAGATTTAATAAGAAAAATTCATTGTCTAAGAGACAGGGGTTAATGGAAATTAACTCATAATTACAATTTAATGATAGCACTTGTTACTAAGCTAAATGTGATTCAAAGTATTCCTCTGTAAAGACATTAGTCATTTGTTAAAACAACCACCACCCCTCCCCAAAACACACAAATGTTTAAGAGCTTCAAAAGTATGCTTAGAACCACTACTGTTCAAAGCAATTAACAGTCTGACCAGCAGGTTATTATTTTAACAAAGGTATTTCTAGGCTTCCTTACTTGAACTCACGTTTACTCTGCACATCAACAGCAAAATCAAGAACATTCATTGTTTGATCTTTCTTTCTCTATTTTCACTCTACATAAAGTAGAGGAAACTACCAAGTTGAGGACAGAAACAAAACATGATCTGCAGTTCCGTTCTAAGCTCTTCATTGTCTGTTATGAACAGCTCAGAATTACTATCCTATGCAGTGCAAGTGGCCTTACCTTTTCCTTAGCATCTCTCTTGTTTCTGAGCTTCATTAACTCCACGCATAGGCTGCTCATTTTCTTCTGCATACCATCTTCAGACAGCTTAGAGATGAATATAAAACCACTAAGCACAACTCCTTCATATGAATTACTCTTCCCACAACCTTTTAAGTGTCCCACTGCCACCCACAACACTGATCTCTACCTGTCCTTGCAACGGATGTTAGCAAGGAAAGAAGCACACAAGCTCCCAAACCAGACACACTCCATCCCTGTGTCAATGAAGGGGCATGGGGGATGTGAAAACAGATGCTCATCAGCAATTAGATTTTTCTCTTGCCCCGGGAACTTAATAGCAGCAAAAGCAAAGCAAATATACATTTGTCCAAATACCTTTGACTTCAGTAGTTCATTGGTTCTTGTTAGGTCCAGAAGCTGTTTTTTTAGGCATGCAACATTTGCCAAAAGAGATGTTTTCTCCTGAACTGCAGCACTCAGCTTTGCTTCAATTTTAACAAAATCCTCATCCAGAGCCTGAAGTTTTTTGTCCTGCTCTCCACGCTCTCTCACTAATGCACGAATCTAAAACCGAAAAGGTATTTTCTTTATTTCCTACTATTCTTCTTCTTCAATAACGTCATTAGTTTATGCCTGTGGTTTTCTTGGAGAGGCTAAGTATCCAAACTGTATTAACTTTCATTCAGAATATATATCTTCAACTCTGTCATTCACAGGAAAGCAGATAACAGAATCACCACAATTCTCTATCATTACACACCACAGATTCACAGTCCTAGCATTTCATCTGACTTATTTTATGTTACAGAGCCTGTACAACATGTTAAAGCTAGAACAGTCTTAGCTTCAACTTGCAACAGACAGCAACTCTCCTCTTTGGCTGTGGAATAGAAAGACAGAATGTGACATTTGAGACACATGAAGCATAGTTAGTACTCAGAAGTGTACTGATAAGGAAAAGCTAGCTGCCTCAAACTTTAATGTTACATCAATTATTAAGCAAAAATCTCAGCAAAGAGTGATTAAATAGAACCTTTTCAGGGTAGAGAAACTAGGACTTGGTTCTCTTTTTAAGAAGAAACAAATTGGATGCATAGCTGTTGACAATCACTTGGAATTAATATAATTCCATTAACAAACTCAGTGTTTCCTACATACCATAACATCTGATAATCTCTGCTCTGCACAGAGCTGTTTGCAAACTACTTGTATGCTGTGTTATGCAAAAGAGGCTAATTTTGCCAGCTTGTATTTTTTTATTAAGGTAAGTGGGAAACATATTACAGGATTGCACTCACATAATGTATTCATACCTCCTTCTCCAGTATCTTCTGTTTCTTTTTCTCTTTCATAAGGATAAGATCTTTTTTAGGCTTCAGAGATCTATTAGCTGGCTTTTGAAAACAGATATATTAGAAATATTTAAACTGATCTCTAGCTGCATACTGTTTAATAACACAGTTAAATATAAGAGCGGATGCCTTCATATAGACAATACTATTAAAGACACGCACACGAAAAAAAAGCAAACATCTCTCTCCCACACATAAAGATGACAAGTATCACGTTATGATGGGTTTTACCATTGTACTTGTCATAAGCATTTCTCTGAATGGACAGCTCATAACCACTGTGACAGGAAGGAGATTAAGAAAGTTTGAGACATTAGCACCACCTAAACTCCATAAAAAAACCCACTTTAATCTCTTCACCACGAGTTTGTTTGCAGAAGTCATCCTACATCATGAGTAGTAGTAAACTAAATTAGTAAGTCACAGTTATAGTTTTTCAACGCATGCTACACTGAGAAGCTATATATACAATAGTATCCCCTCTTTGTTTCTTCCACCACTAGGTTTCTGCTCTGCCTTGTCCACTGTATGAAAACAGAAACATGATCATCTTAAAGATAAGCAGCTGCACCATAATTATATTGGGAGCAAGAGGCAAAATAACCCAACATTGTAACAAAGACAACAAGCCACTCTGTGGTCTCAAGTAATCATCACATTATTCCCAAAGACACTGGAATTTCATTTTTCCTTCTTAGTTACAGGCACAATAATATGTTTCATAGTTTACTCAGGTAGACTAATAGCAATTGTATAAACAGGCCATATGATTTAACTAGTCATAACGAGGTTTAGCTGGAATTTAACAGTGCTACAGAACCACAGAAGCGTCTTACTGTTGATCCAAGAGATGCAAGTCTCCTTCCAGTTACAGGGGTAGGTGCACTCATCTCACTGTTCAGATTTGTCTCACCTGCAGAAGGATGCAGAAAAGCATGGTGAAGGAAGACAGCGTGCATGCATGCGGTGAGGGAAATTTAACTAAACTAAACAAAGTTAATTGGCTTTTTATACAAGACAGAATGTCACCTGATTATTAGGCTATCCACTTCACAACCCAATGCCAGATGCTTTCTTACTGCAACCAGGTAGTTCAGTATTAGTCATCTGAGCCCTTGACAGAGTTTAGAGAGACTACCAGATGACAGACAGTTTTGCAAATTCAGCTTCTGACAAGCTTCCCCCCCACCATCCAGACCTATGCTGTCAGTTTTCCAACTAAGGGATGCTTTATATCTGAAAAAAACATGAAAATATCATCCAAAACAAGGTTAATAAAGTAGTTAAATCATTTATTTGATCTTCAGAGGTCCCCCTAATTAGAAGTCACATATAAAACTATTCTTGGCAGATTCAGTTAGAGGTGTTTTTTACAGCTGCTATCCCCTTGAGCTGGAAGGTAGGCAGCGAGCCCGTGCACCAGAAAACAAATTTCTAAACCAGAACAGAGCAGTAACAGCACGTAAGCATTAACAGCAGTAGCATTCAAAGATATTATACCGTTGTGTTCCGTGCAACTTATAGGACTACTTACTCTTCTGTTTTCTAACCCGTTGACATGTTTCAGAGGGCAGAGAACTTTTCAGTGCATCTGAAGATTTAACATCATAGGATCCTCGCAGAGGGGTACATACTAGAAGTAAGATTTGCAGAACAGCAGAGAACTATTAAGGTAAACCATAGAGTTTTCAATTTCATTGAGTTGGGGCTGGTAACCCATCTAAGTTAAGGCTGCTTTAAAAAAGAAAAAACCTCAAAAACAACCAACAACTGGAATCTCAGTTCTCCTCATCCTCCCCATACACATGAAGAAAACATACAGCGCACATGGTTGGAGAAAGGCTTGGTTTATTACACCACTAATAAAACTAGAAACTGATTTACATATACAATATTGCAAGGCATCTTATTACTGATAGCAGTGGATTAACTTCCATAAATAAAACCTCCAAACAGTCAGAAGAACTTAATGCTAATTAGTGAAAAAGCCAGTCTAAAGTGTTAAAGGACAAAAAGCAAACTTAACTGGTTTGTGGGGTTTTTTTTAAAACATCATATTCAAATTTAGAAGAGACTACTTAAATGTTATCGAATGCCAAACTCCTCCTCCAAAAAGTGAGGTTACTTAAATTTGTATAAAATTTAAAAACAAACAAACAAACAATTTTAAGGGAAATAGCAGACCAAAACAAGATGGCTACAAGTTCTTCATACAATTATCATTATAGTCAGGTAATCTTAAGCCCAGTAAACACTTATCTACTTACTTCAGCTTTCTGCAAATGAGAGCCATTTCATTTAATATAGAAACAGGTGACAGCAGCAGAGGGGCATTCAGCTACAGCCAAAAACTCATTGTGAGAAACTTTTACATTAGGAAATACTCTCACAGTAGCAGTACTTCAGTTGTGACTAGTTCTGTACGTTTCTCTTGTATTTTTGTATCACAGAAAACTAGCAAATAGTAGTCTGTCATTGGTTTATTTACCGTATACATACATAAATATTCACTGCTATATTTAGTAGCCATTTACCTACGACCGGGATTCGAGTCGAAATCAGTTTTTTTTTTTTCCTTCCAAAGGAACCAGCCGCAAAGGCTTGGACAAGAGGTCCTCCAACACACCGTTACAGGCAGCTCCCCTCACAGGGCGACTATAAGCAAGAGGACTAGGACACCGAGGTAGTCCCTCTTCAGTCAGACACGAATCCCTCTTCCCCCAGACACCACTACCAAGAGCTAAGGCTCTCCCTCTCCCCCGCCACCCGCTCCCAGCCGAAGAGAGGAGACCCCCAGGAGACCGCCACGCACATACCGGAGCTCTCGTTGAAGCGCCGGAGCGGAGCCCTGGAGAAGGCCATGACGGCAGCCCAGGCGTAACGCGGCCTCCTCAGCATTCAAAGGGACCAACGGCCC